AGCAGCTGTGGCTCCCAATGCAGACCTCCTAGCAATGCTTTCAAGTGCATTAGCCTTCTTCCTCCTTACCTCCATGAGAGCACAGGAACGTGTGGTTGGTGATGGGACCAGGCTCTGCAAACGTGTTGAATTTATTGAGCCACTCTCGAGAGATGTAGAACTGGAGCAGGCTGGGTTCCTTCATGTTGGCGAGGGATACCACCTTCTGACGTTCCCGCACAGCCTCTTCGCTGCTCTTCCTAAAGGAAGAAAAGGCAGGGGGAGAAAATGAAGCAATCCTCAACAGTCCTCCAGACCTATCCTAGGATGCCACAGCCAAAGTGGGCTGCTCCAGCCCAGACACCCACCTGTAGAAGAGGACATAGGCCTCTGCATTCTGCACCACTGTCTCATGGACTTCAGTGACATACTGGTCATCGAATTCATACCACTGGCCATTGATCACATTCTGGCAGTATGCTATGTAGTGTCCACCTGTAACAGAGGGAACGTATTTGGGGTTCAAAGTACACAGAGAAGAACCAGAGTTTGGATACGAAACTTGAACAGGGATAACACAAGAATCCTAAAATACACTGAACTCCCTTTAGGAGCAGGCAGACCAGCGATCACCGGAACCAACACAAAACACGAGGAGGGCAGGTTGCCTGTGGTGTCTGGAGAGCAGGGCTCTGAGAAAACCGAATGCCCTCCAACTGACCAAGTGCCGACCAGCAGGATGTGGTACATTTCCTTGGGCTCAGTGCTCCAGGCTCAGACCTATCTTGTTCCCAGTCAGTTCAGGCATAGATGCACAGGAGACAAGGACTTACTGCCGGCTGTGCCATGATGGCAGATAACTGACAGGAGGTCGTAGGTGGTGATCTGGGAGACGCACTCCTTGGCCAGGAAGGGTCGAAGGTCCAGCCCTTCCAATGGGAAGGAGACGTGACTGTTGATTTTAAAGGAATACATGACCTCGTGCCGGAAGCGTTTCAGGTGGATGCACAGGATCTAAGGGACAAGAGGGGGAAGAGACAGAAGCACAACATCTATGTGAGTGTCCATGTGGGATACAATTTTTACATACTTAACCCCCATCTCTGTGTTCCCTGACGTTTACAGGGATTGAGACCACACTATCAGATGGAAAGAGGTGGTTACAGTCTGGACTCACCAGGCCTTTTCTGGTGTGTTTGTATGTCTTCCGTTATGGCCAAAAAACAAACAGTTTCCAGTTCCAGCTTTAAAAAGGATGGTAGCCAGTGAAGACCAGGGAAACAAGTGACTTCTACTCACCTCAGGCAGCCGGAGAACTTTGCAGTACTTCACTCCGTTCCGCAGCCTGAGGAAGAAGGAGACAATTCATCCATGAGACCGCTGGAGGGCAAAGGAGCAGGGCCCCTATCCTAAGCAGGGCAACTGTAGGTCATACCATAGGCAAAACTGGAAGAGGCATCAGTGGGAGCTGGCTCGAGCTCTCTGTACCAGCTTCCCCCATGAACGAGAGCATGAGTTACAAGAGAAACCTTTGCTACAAGATGGACCACTTCCTTTTTACTACACTTCTCCTGCTTATCCACTAGGTCTCTCCCCTTCCTTCCCCCTTCCTTTACCTCTTACCACAGCCACCACTTTTCCTCCCACTAAGTTCAGGGTCTTCAGTGGCCCCTAATCAGGGCTCTCCTGGTCTCTTTCCTAGAATTCCAGCAAAGGACAGTTCAAAGCTTAAGAGGTTGAGATTAAAGGGGAGTATTCAAACAGCAGGTGTGGAGAACAATGGTGCAGAAATGAGGTCAGTGGAAAGACAGAACAACATGGATGACAAACTTACTTTTTACACCGTTCACAGCTGTACATGTTGTCCCCTGTAAAGGAGACAGAAGCACTGCAAGATTACCAAGAGCAGGAATAAGGAGACATTCTCACCATGTCTGGAGAAGCCAGGTGAAGCCTTAGCCTAGCGACAATAACAGAGGCACAAGGGAAAGTCCCCCACCAGCCTTCACAAGTGCAAACATGGAAGAGGAAAGCTGACTTGAGGAGTCCCAGTGTTGCTAATTCAAGAGTGAAACACCCAGCTAGACGCTCCTTGACAAGTCTTGACACAGTTTTTCCCATCTTTAGTCTCAGCAGGAGCTCAGAGAGAAGACATCTCACACCAGCCCTCCCCCAAACTTACCCTTCAACTCATCTGCAGCAAAAAAAGCAGCAAGACAGTCCTCCAGTGTGACAACAGGACCCCAGAACCAGCTGGGAATACAGGATACCACAAACCTGCAGGCACATCAGAAGAGAATCGGGACATTATTGAGGACGTGGCAGATGCCCCAGCTTTTAAAATCCCCAAATGGTTTACTCTTTTACATAACTGAAGGCTAGAAAGCCAGCTTAGGAAATAAGTAGGGCACTGTGGGAAAACATGGCTTCTTAGAACTGGTACTGATATCTCCCAGGACAGGAATGGCTGGGATTATTTCAGCCTTGACTAGGGTGTCAGAGCAAGGCAGGGACCAAATGGGGGCAGAGGCTGACTATACAAGAGACTTCCTAGGTAAAGAAAGGAGCAGTACTAACAGGTTCTGGATAGAAGCGTCTACTGGGAGGGTTATGATCATGCTGTATCATTATTTAAAGGCCTACCAGAACAGACTTGCAAGGAAGAATTAATAGCAAGAAAAGTGAGAGCTCCAAGTCCTTCAACCCAGGGTCACAGGACACTTTACAATTAACATTGATCCCAGTTTATTTTTGAAAGCAAATGAAACTAAAATATGTTTTGGTGCACTAAGTAAGGAGGGAGTTTAGGACAACAGTAAATAAGTTTTATGGCCCTGGATCTATAGTGTTTTACCCATCTTATGTCTATACAGTGCCTGAACTGTAAATCCGTGCGTGGTTACCTCCAGTATCCCTGGTTGTCTCCAGACTCAATGAGATTACTCTTCTAATAACCCTGGGAGCAAACTGAGGAAAGAGGGACAATGCAGGGTGAGCCCAGGGAAACACACCTCCTGATGTACTCCATGATGAAGGCAATCCAGCCTTGTGAGGCATAATTGTCGCCGCATGCCCCTGTCTTTGCTGGCACATTCTGGTAAATGGCAGAGTGCAGTTTAGCTAAGTCTTCCTTCCCAGGAATTGGGAGTGACAGGTCCTGGAACGTCTCCACTGTCGTGGACACCTGAAGACCCACAAAAGGGGGAAAAAAAATCAGGGTTTTGGTGCATTGAATGAAGATGTATAGCCCTGAACTTTTAGCACTGTCCTGTCTCAGCTAGGAAACTAAATTGTGGCTGAGAAGAGGTTGTTTCCATAAAATCAATTTTCATCATCATTGACAGGAAGCCCCCATCAGGTTTCCAGCAGCCACACCAAAACTGATTTTGTCCAATCTATGCTAGGACTGGTCCACATTCAGAAACTGGGCAACAGAGGTTTGGCCACTGGCAAGTGACCTCCTGCCCTCTTGATGTTCCCTGCAGCTGTGGAATCCAGTTCTGCACAGGAAGGACCCCAAGCTCTACCTTTAATCCTGTCCTTTGTTGATCCCCTACCTTGTTCACATCTGGCTATGGCCAGCTCCATTGCTCGAAACATGTAATGTTGCTAAGAGACCTATTTATATTGGACCAAGACACTGTATTGCATGTAAACCAATAGAGAACCAGAATATTTCTATGCACGTTTCACAATCAATTGAGTCATAGCAACTTCAGAGCATTTGGGAAGAACATCTCTGTTTCCCCAAGTACAGCGTTTGAAGAAAACAGAACCTGCTGTTTCATTATTTGATTAACGGCAGCCAAGAGACTCACTCTGTCACAGGTGAGGCATTGCACCAGGCTGAGAATGGAGCCATCAAAGATATCAGAAATAACACTACGATAACGAAGCTCTTTCTTCTTTTTCCCAGAAGCCTGCATCTGGGCTGAAAAGACACACAAAAGCCTCATCACCTGGCAGCTCTCTTGCACAGTCTCAACAAAGCTATGCAATCAAGTGAGGGGCAAGTCTTTCACAAGACAAACGCGTATTTGTACAGGCTTACAGGCAGCCTGCATGGCTAGATCAGTGGTGCCAATCTTAAGCTGACACTAAGAATAACCCAGCTTCAGACTGTACCAGGAGGTGGAACGTAACCATCTGAGCCCATTCAAACATTAGCAGGTTCCCAGAGGGAATTGTGCTGCTGGTGGTGGTGGTGTCTTCCGTTCCCCATCCTCCTTCAGGAGGACACTAACTAGTCGTTCCAACACTTCTTCAAGCTCCATAAGAGTTGCTTCAAAGCTTTTCAGTTTGTTTTTTCCTTCCATGGCTGATTTTGTCCTTTTCCCTCTGGCAAACATCCAATCCATCCCCATGCATTACCCACTAGGGTCTGAATCCCAGAAGCTAAGGTCTGGCTGAACACAGTCATTTTGTTTAAAACAACCCCCCTTTACTTATACAGAGTGCTTTCATTGGGCTCAGACGTCTGCACCCGTGCACTGGCCCCTCAGCTGAGGTCAGTGCAGCTTGGCAAGAATTAGATTATTGAACAGCTGCAGGGCTGGTGGTGCAAGCACAAGCCATTGTATTCATGGACTGTGCAAAGGACAACAGATCTGCTTTTGTGACTTCCTTGGAATGAAGAGGCAGGTTTAACAGCAGGTACTGGGGCTCCATTTTGCACCCTCCCAATGCTCCCACCACCAGACTCATATTTAACCCCACAATACGTTTGGATGACACCCAGTTAACAATCAGGAAGTCGTCCATGGTAATGCAGCTCTGCAGTCCCTTGCCGCACCTCTGTGGTTAAGAAGGAGAACGAGACTAAAGGCCAAGTGCTTACAGGTCTCCACTTTCCCATGAAGAGATGTGAATACTGTTCCTTACTCCGATGAGTCATTTAGCATTTTGCTAGAAAGGATAGGGGAAATGAAGACCCATATATAAGCGATTTACATCTTAACTCTGATGGGTGCATATATTATAAGTGCTATTGTGTCCTAATATAGACATAGAAACTGCAAGCAGAGAGTGTTTGGAGATCTGGACTTTGCTAATGCTATCTGTCTCCTGAAGGTATTAATAAATAAAGTGCAGCGAAGGACTGATGGCCTACCTGGAACAGCTAAAGAAGTATTGTTCTAAGCTTTACAAATCAAAAGCAAAGGTCAGGAAAGGCAATCTGACCTTGGGTAATTCCATTGCTCCAGAAGGACCAGCAGTGATTGTTGCTGATGAGTTTACTTACCTAGGCTGCCTCTTCCATAACTCCAGTGCCTGCATTTATGACAGAGCAATGCAAGTCAAAAACTGCTTTTTGGAAGCTTGTTCCACTATGAAAATTGGACACCATAGGCAGTGATTCTTTTAGTAGCAGTGTACTAAGTATGGAACAGAATCATTAAAGTGCAACATATCTCTCCATGGGAAGTTAAATAGCTTCCAGTGTGCATGCCTGCGCCAGACAGTCAGAGCGGACAGGTCAGAAAGATAAAGATCAGCAGCATCTTGGAGCAGGCAAAATTACCAATGAACACCCAACCAGCAGAGGAGCAGAGGACTTGCCTTAGCCATGTTCTGAGTGTCCAATAAGCTCCCCAAACAGGTCTTGTTCTGGCAACCGCCAGGTGAAAGGACCTAGAAGACTAAGGCAGCACCCTTACAGCCTGAGCAGGAGACAGAACTCACCAGGGCTAATTGGTGAAAACTGACCTCTGCCTTGTACAACTGGTGGTGAGAGAAGTGGATTGGACTGGACTGGATTCTTCCCTATATCCTCAGTTGTGATAAGACTCGCACCACTCATTTCTTAGTGCTATTTTTGAATGCACCAACACAAAGTCTTACATTTCTTGTTGTGGGTACTAGAGAACATGATGGCTTCTGCACCTCACTCTCCACACATCCTTCATACTTCGCCCTCTGCCTCCACGCATGACTTCCCACACACTCTACCTTTCTTAAGCACATAGGAGGGTCCAAGTCTTGCAGGACTAGAGCGAGGGGGGCTGCTGGACAGTTTGGAGTGCATCTCCTGGTGAACTGGACTGCAGGGGCGAGAGGAGCAGCGCACATAGGCATCATTGTCTGGCTCTGCAAGGGGAAAGAAAGGAAGAGTTCACAGCAGGGAGACTCAATGTGGCACATACCCAACTAGTCCCAGATCAGTCCTGACCTAACATCCATATCTGAATGTTAGCATGAAGTCTTTCACAGTCAAGCTGTCAGACAGAAAGGGGATATAAGTTGCATCTAGTTCTGTTCCCAAACAAGAAGTTACTTGCAGTTAGCAGATATGGATAAAGGCTTCCAATATCAAGGCCTGAAATGCAGGTTTAAGTCACCCAACCACCTTGAAAACATACTGGTTTCATCTGGATGGATCAAACAAATAATCCCACAAGTGTCTATGGGCATTTCTTAGTCTGGCCCAGTGAGGGTCCTCACAGGGCTGTTGGTTATCTCATCCTCAGGAGGAGTCATAGCTGTGTAGGAGAGCAAGAAGAACTTAACTGTACCTTGGAACACAGCCCCTTAAATTCCAGCTGTGCTGCAAAAGCAGCTGCCATCCCTTCAGTCTTAGCACAGCGCGTTACTCCAGGGGACTGTCTGAGACAGAATGTGCAACTATATGAACTGGCCGTAGGCATCCCCATTTGACCTCAGTTGCCCTGCTGTGCTAGAAATGAGTCACAATGATAGAAGTGGTGCAAGATGGGATGGAGGCAGTTTACCTATCCTAGCAGCAGAGACCTTTGAAGCCAGGAACAGAAATGGTACATAACATGCCTGTTTGGCATTCCCACAGTAAGCATGGCCCAGAATAGAAAGATGGCACTGTTTTCTTACACGGTGCAGTAGAGAAGCTATATTCATACCTGGTGTCCTACACGGGCTGGCAGGACGGGGCGGGGGGAGTGTCTCAGGGGAAGCTCTGTCATCAACTGGCATCATGGTAGTATCAACATCTGCATCCTCATCCACTTGTTCCGAGTTGTTCCGCCGATGCCCACAAGAGAACTTCCTGTCCTTCATCCTCTCTTTCTCAGAGATCCCTCTGCCAGCCTCGTCCTGGATCAGCAGTTCTGTCTCTGCCAGGGAGCTGTTCATGCCCCCCATCCTGCCTTGCCCATCTCCCTCACCCCTGTCACTGCTGGAGTCACAGGAGAGGAACTCATCCTCTGAAGGGCTGCGGTCACCCTCTCGTTTGTCATCCATGTCGTTTGTGTCCAAGTCTCTTGTCTCAGCAACTATTGGTTCCTTTAGCTCTTCATGAAGCTGGTCCATCAGGCAGCGTAGGAATTCCTGGGTATCCTGAAAACCAGGAGCAATTCCACTTTATCTACTGCTCATCCAAGGAGGAAAAAAAAGAGAAAGGAACAACTACAGGGTTCATTTAGTTTACCACTGCCCATAAAAGTTAGCCACAGGGAGAATATGAGGGGGCCTGACTATGCTGAGCAGATGGCACTTTGGAGATATGCAGAAGGATCCTGCCTGTACAGCAGGCTGCTCTAATTCCTCAGGATTAGAGTCCCAATTTGCAGCTGAATTGTTTCAACTTCTGCTTGTCCCAAGAGCTTCTGGAGGACTCAATAGCCAAAGTGGACAGCTGCTATGGAATTTAGACCACTACCCTGGCTGTTGGGATATTAGCACTGACAGGAGGTGAAAATGCAGAAGAAAGATAATTAAGACTGTGGACTGCAAAGAAAAGCAAACTCTATGCTGAGAAAGTAATTTTCACAATTGCTAATCTCACAATAATCCCTTAAGCACGACATTAAAATCCAGTATTATTACCAGAGATAAGAACCAGAAAATGTAGACAAATCTGTCAATGTACAGGACTCCTACGCACAAGCAAAGAGGCAAAAGGAGACTTGCTGATATATGGGTTTCAAAGGCACCTGCCAAAAAGCCACCTGATGCCCTGACAGCTAATTATGAAGTCCTGCAAATTATATTGTGGAGGAATCAGTTTATAAAATCATAACGTGCTCCCATTTCACTCCTTCAACTTTATTTTTTTGCAGCTATGAATCTGCAATCCCACTTTGCATCAAAGATAAAAATAAGAGCCCTTTCTGCAATCAGTATTTTTGTAATCTATATTTTGACTTGCCATCAGAATCGCATCTTAACTCTATTATCTGCTGCCACCTCTGGTTGTACATTTTCTAATCAATCACACATCAAAAGTCTTTAAAAAGACACGTAAGCAGGTAACTTTGGGTACAGCTGAGTTCTATTCAAATATCCAAGTTGACCAACTAAAACGCACGTTGGATGACCCACCTGCTGAGCATAGCCGCGGAACATGGGGTTGACCAGTTTAATTCCATGAGACAGGCTGCTTGGCACCACGTAGCTTGGGCTGTTTCAAATGTAACCAACAAGGTATTAGTTCACCCATCAGGTCTAAAGCTGAATTTTGCAACAGACAGTGGATAAGCAACAAAATGCAGAGTGGTAAGCAGGTAAAAGCAGACAGAAGTACAACTCCGTAGCCGCAAAAACTGAATTTCTGTTGTTTATCTGTTAGCTAAGCCATAAGAACTTAAGAGACAGTAAGTAATAACAGCCTAGCCCCTACCTGTGGACACAGCCCCCTACAGTACAGTCACTCATGTTACAGTGACTTTGAAAAGTCTCTCAAGTGACAAGGGCTTCCCTGGGCAGACCTATCCACGTCAAGCAGCATGGCTGTTTCCACCTTGGGGTGCCACAAGACGAGACGGTAAAAAGAATTACAATGAAAATGCAGGACACTGCTAAAAAAACATTTCCATAACTCCACAACTCAATTCTTAAAGCCAGTGTCTCCCCCTGCCCCAATACCTTCCTTTTTGCTTATTAGCAAGCGATCTTTAAGTACTCAACACCAATTAGATACGTGCACTCTTTGGTTGATGTCAGCATAATGAATTTCAGAGGTTTCTGGATCCTGCTCCTCAACATAAAACTTACTGATCATTATATGCAGGGCAAGGCAAGGGACAAGAGCTATCACACACATTACTGTAACACAGGCTTACACATCACCTTCTCAAGTTATCAGCAAAGCCTGATTGTTTTCTTGAGTTATTGGTACTATCTTCATAACTGAAATACGAATGCCTCTACACCTTCCCCTCGGACTGAGGAGGCATCACTCACCGCTTCTTGTGCCACACTTCAGAGACCAATTTCTGGTAGCTTTTGCATAGTGCTGGTTTCTTGTCTGTGCGTACCAGCCCACCACACTCCAGAAAAAACTGCGTGAGAGGAGGGCTACAGGATGAAAGAGAATGAACTAAGTCAATGGAAACTGGATGCTGAAGATCACTTTGGATGAAGGTAAGAAGGTAGGGCAGGGTGGCACCTTTAAAAATTAACTAGCTAATCTCAGGTAATAAATCCATTCCAGACTAACTGGTTAGTCACCTTAGTGACTAGCTGGTTAATCTGTAAGGTAGCACCCTGTCCTACCTTGCACCTGACATCAGACTAACCTAGCTAACACCTCCTTGGTTGTCAAGGTCACTTACTTGGGAGGAAAAATATAAATGCCTCTGTATATGTGCATTCGTGTTTTTTAAATAGCACAGTAAAACCAAAGACTTATTTCCAACACTTGTCTAACAAAATATGCCCACAGCAAGTCCACTGACTGACCTAGCTGTCTACTCTATAGGTTTTCACGCCTTAACCATACCGTAATTCTCTCCCTCTCTGCTTTAATCTGCATCTGAGCTACACACATCATTCCTGAAGGAAGTCTCCAGTGGAAATTGCCACTGTTTTTAGTGAGTATTCAAGGAAGGATCACTGCAGATTGGTCCTGTTGCCTACCAGTTAGAGAGGGCCTGAAGTGCTGCATTCATGTAGCAGGAGTTCCCCAGGTTCTTCATTCCCGTAAGGCCTAAAGAACATGCAAGACAGACACCACTCAGAAAGGAGCACTGCTTTTTAAAAGCATCACATTCTGCATTTACAAAATGAACGGGCACCCAGCCTGTCCCTCACAGATAAGCAAAGCATCCCAGTCCTCCTGAGCCCACCAAAGTGCTCCAGATATGGGTCAGAAAGACTCCAGAGATGCACCTGTAACTGACTGCACACATCAGCATGATTTACCTCTTGGTTTCAGATCATCATCCTCCGATTCAGATTCTCCTTCGTCAGCTACTGCAATTGGAACAGCCTTCAGAGGGTGAGCAGGCAATGGAGAATCCTGGATGAAAGACAGAAAAAAGAAGCATTGATGGCAGGTCTGCTTTACAAGATGACACACTGTCTCTGTACTTCCACTCAGCCAGCTTCTTGGAGAGGGCACCAGTAACCAAGGAACAGATAATACATCACAGTCGCATCCCTCTGTTTTCCTGCAACAATATAGTTAAGCAGGGTAATAAGAACCCTTACTGCTTTCAAGAGATGTCATGAGTGGCCTCTGTGACGGTCAGTAATGTCTGTAGTCAGTATGCTTACACCCATGCTTCTAGTCTGGTATTTAAAGCTTTGATGAGAGATATGATAAGAGTAAAGGTGCCATCAGCTCTTGCAGTTCACTCCAGATGTAATTTCCCTTCAGAAGTGGCCAAAGCCAGACAAATTAGCTGTATAAACAGATTCACAAGCACTCTGGAATCCCCTGGATTGAAAGCACAGTGTAAATGTAAGATGATTCTTCATTTTGAGTGAAAGTGGCTACCTTCAGCACAAGAGCTCATACAGCAATTAGGCCTGGACAATGATGGAAACGTCTCGACTAGCCATCTGCAGAAGTGAACAAGCCCCTTGCTAAGTGCTCCATCCCGCTGATCAGCCCTCTCCCAACTTAAGGTCTCAAAGACTCACCTGTTCACTAAACTTTGATGGTGGGGAGGAAGCATTTGTTGCCAACCTCTGGTCCAAGAATACCTCTCTCTCACAGGCATAACACCACACCCGGAATGTGGTCAGGTTCACCGTCAGGTTGTGTTTTTTGGCCTAAACACCAAAATGGAGAGAAAAATGAGAATCATAAGCTTACTTGTAATTGCCATGAAATTTGGAAACTAAGCACCACAGTAACTATCTGAAATGTTGTCTGAGCTTTGAGGATGACCGGGAATTAGAGTTTAATTACTGAGAACTCCAAACTTGTCCCCCTAATAAGACTGAGGGGGGATTATAGAGACTGGCTCACCTGTGCATGTAGGGTGCTGTGATCAGCAAAGGACTCCCCACAGCCAACGTAAGGACACCCAACCTAGGGAGAGAAAGGAGAGAAAAGAGGGAGAATGAGCTGGGGGTGGCAAGATAAATCCATCACAAAATGAAGAGGTGTTCACTGGCCCCTTCCCCAGGCAGCAGATCTGTATCTTACTGACCCTTTGCAGACCTGCTAAATTAAATTAGAGGAAACTGAACTAGTTGGAAAACTAGCTTTGTTCATGACTGAAACCTCCTGTCTAAGCAACTGGGATTAATTTTCCTTGAGCTGCTCTCTGATGGGAGCCCAAACATCTATGGATTCATCATTAAAAATCTGTTGTAAAAATAAACTATTTGGTATACCATGAAGCCTACATCCATGACTCCAATGAGGCCAGCCAGCCCTGCCTTCATCTCATTATTTCTTTCTTCAATGGTTTGCCCAATTCAAACTTCTTGTTTTCATTTTTCAGTTTAAAAAGACTGCAAAATGTATAGGCATAATATATATTATATGTATAACTAACCCCTACAGCTTCCTAGCTGCAAAGTTGATCAATCCTCATGCTTCAAGGAACGCTAGATCTTCCTGAATGGCAGTGAAAAGCCTGGCACAGCGTCTGCCAGCTTTGTTCTACTGATCCTGTTAAGAGCTGTTCAGGTCAGGGACTGTCTGTTACTCAACAACTACCCAGGACTCAGCAGAACAGGGTCTTGGTGTTACCATGAAGCAAATTAATTGGAATCGTAAAAATGCTGGAAGCGGTTGTTCACCGGCGAGACAGGGATGCAGGGCAATCCTCTAGCGTGTTTGTGGATGGGAAAGGAGAGATGTTTTGCTCTTCCTGCCCCTTGCACAACAACAGTAAAAGGCTGCACTGGCACCTGCGCATCAATACACTGACACCAGCAACAAGGATCAGAAGCTTTTGTATGCAGAGAACTCATCTTCTATGTTCAAAATGTGCCAGGCGCACTTGTGACAGCACATGAATGATTCCTGATCAAGTCTGGTCCACAATCCGCGAGACATACATGCTCGAGCTTGTTTCTCAACCTTTTGACAATGACCCCCGTTCAAAGTGAGAAACAAAAACATCACGATCCATTTCCCCACCATTTTTATTCTCACTCAACAAGAATCGCTATGATTTCCTTGTGCGTTCTCAGGGGCTGATGCAGCATCTGGCTGTGAAGGTGCCATCAGGGAATGGGAATGCAAGATTGTCTTGCTTTAGTTAATCATAATAACTTGTGACCCCCTTGATTACTTCCTGTGACCCACTTCCACACTCCAGGGGTAACAAACCACTGAGAATATGGCTCCACAGCTAGCATTGACTATTTCAAGTGACAAGGATCGACATCTGAGCTCCTGCAAGAGGGTGAAGCTCCATTATAAACAGCCGGGACTATGACTGCAAAGAACATTTTGAAGTGATGGTTAAGTTATGCCTGCTTGGACCAGGCCAGACCAGGCTGTAAATTAGCTTGATGCACCAAGCCTGGTCCAACATGACCGTCCCACGCTTATCTGAAAGCTCTTTTCCACTCCCCTCTGCCTCGCTCCTCTCCTTCAACAATAGCACTGATTTTTTCTGGTTCCACACATTTGGAAATCTCCTTCCTGGCTGCCAACAAGAGCACGATCCAGTTAATCATTAGGTGCTTAAAAACAGATGGTGGTTACTATCACTCTTCAGTGTTCATTCCCATTGGGATGTAAAAAAGCAAGCCAAGATGAGCAGCAGACAAGATTTTGATCAGTGGACTCTGATTTGCTGGGATGTAACCAAAAGCTGACAGATACCTTGACAGTACTGCTTTTCCTCTCGTATATATACTTTTTTTTTTTTTTTATATAGGATACTGTGATCTCAGACCCAATTTCAAATGCAAGGGGTATCAATAAATACAGTACGTTGTTGGGAAAAAGTAAATATAAAGAAATGAGAAGGCCTATCACACACCATACAAGATACGCAGGCCCTTTTTACCTGGAGACAAGCCCAGAGATTTGGTCCCCCAGCTCCACAAGACTGGCAAGTTCCCTGTGTTTGTACAAAAAAACCAACAGTTAATTTAAGGAGCCTGATGCTAAGTGACGTACAGGCATTCAGAAATGCACCAGCAGAGATGGCTTCGAGTGCTGCCAAATGGCAGCAATGTCAGATTCCACCAGCCTCCTCCATCTATCCCATGAACGTGACTTAAGCGTTACAGTGATGGAGTATAGATGGCTTCTTTAGGAGGCATACTCAAGAGATACTCATGGTGGAAGCAGCCTTTCTGCATCACATCAGTGGATACCTAAATGGAAAAGGCACTGCAAGCAAAGCATTCTTTACCTTGGATTTGAGCAGGAGGTCATCCCTGGTGACCTCACCTATCGAATCCAGGTGAGGACAGATATCCCTTGCATCCCCCATCCTTGCCACGACTCAGCTACAGAGGAGACAGATTGGAGAAGTTGGAAGGATGACTCAGGTTGGTTACATGTCAGACTTGATGGTAAAGATGACAAGAAAGCAAAATGACCTACTTCAATGTTAAGATATTAGAGATTATTAAAATCCATCTTTGAGACTCAAAAGTATGTGGCAGCAGTCTCAACATCTCCGCAGGCATTTATACAGCCCCCCCGACATAGGGTAAAAAGGATCCCAAACTGTTCACATGCTCCAGTACAAGGAGGGGACTACGCGAATGTATCCTGGGGGTGAAACTAAACCTCCAAGTGTCAGCTCCCACTACAGTCTTGATGTCAGGTAACAGTTCAGTGCTGCAGTCAGGCTAACACAGAACAGCTCATTGTTGAGCAGTAGCATTATGATATCAGAGATAAGTGAATGATGCAATGGGAGGGAGCAAGAAGTATATAAAGAAAGTTAATAATTATTTGGAATATATAGCCAGATATAAACGCACACAAGGACTGTACTTTTTCTTCTACAACATCTCCCCAGAATAAAATTGGCTGAAACCCGTCTGGTTCATACCTCAAAGGAAAACAGTAATGCAATGAGCCCCTGAGCAGTCTCGTCTTACGGTTCAAAATCCCAGCTGGTCTGGATCACGCAGCATAGCTGGATGACGCAGAATCCTAAAGAAGTAAAATCCCCACATTACTGCATATTCTACACACAGACTCACTGAGGCTCTTCCAGATCTGCATGATACAACTAGAAAACATCACATGCAAGATGCATGTAAGAAATGCATTGCCTTTACTTAAGAGTGGGTTGGTGGACTAGACCCCACTTCTTCCCTCAGAGGTGAGGTTTCGCATCCTGGCTCAGCAAGTCACAAGCAAAAACAAGCCTGGAGATCATTAAGCTGTTACCTGTTGTCAAAGGAACAAAAGCACCAAGAAAGCAGAGGAGAAAGTCTCATCTCTTTGCAGGAGGCTTTGACTAGAATTAAAATGGAAAGGACACCGCAGCTCGGGACTGAGGTGCAATGATATAACCGTGGCTAAAAGCTGGCACAGTACCTGCGCTCTGCCTAGCTGAAGATAATCTGGTTATTAGCTGTTCACTACCTTCCAGTTAACTACAAATGTCAGTAATACACCTTCAAAAGAACAGAAGCCACCAGCACCTGTGAGGAATTTACTGTTACGTGCATGCCTAAGAATATAATGTGCACAACTCTCAAAGACTGTACAGCACGGGACAAGTTGCGTTCCATCAGGGACAATAAAATTAGGCACGGTGAACACAAAGGATCATTTTTAGTGTTTCACAGCTGTACGATTTATGGGCAAACTCACCCATTTTTGGGGGCGATTCATATTTGAAATCACAGACACATGGAAACCCTCAGATGTAGCTCAAGTGCACAGTGCAACACAGGACGATAAAGTGAGGTGATCACTAAGCAATAATTTAAGGAAACATCATTCAGGGCTCTAAAAAGAAGCTCTGTTGAGTAATTCAACCAGTACAGAACCCAACTCCAAAATATTATTACTAGCTAGAGACCAACCAGCTGTAAAAGGCCCACACCATAAAAAAGTGCAAGTCCAAGCTCATCAAAGCTTAATAATTTGCTGCGGTCATTCATTGCTTCCTGCTGTTTCTAACGTCCGCAGGGACTTCAGATATCATTGCCAAAGTTATCCGCTCTGAAGCCTTTTTGAAAGAAAGAGAAGATGAAGGGCTACGCCACTTCAGCAAAGAATGATCTCAGCATCTGAAAAGCATCCCCAACAACCTGCACTGGCAGCAGAAAGAAATAAAGGGGTATCTTGTAAAAAAAACAAAAAACCCTTTACCAACAAACTTTGCAACTTAAGATATTGGAGGAACACAGCAAAACTGGAGGGGTAAAACGCTGTTGCAAATAAGAGAGAAATATACAGCGATCGCAGGCAGAGTCTAGTAATTTCAGGATCCGACTTGGACATCTGTGCATCAGTTATTCAGTTGCAAGTGTCCAGCTTCATATTTTTAGTCCCCAGAACACACCTATGCCAAATACCATCATCTCTCTATGATCTTTGTTATTTTTCTGTACTTAATTTTCCTTCCTCTATCCCCTGGAAAAAAAAAAAGCACCCTTACTAAATCTGGTATTGCTTTAAAAGCAGCTTCATGCTCTTAATCTTTGCCAGCTTAAATGGTAACTATTTTTAAAACAAACGGAATTAAGTCTAGTCTTACGCTCCGATTACACTACGTGTGCTTAACTTCGTACATGTGAATATTCCCGTTGAACTCCATGTGACTACTCGTGTACTTGCAGGTATACACATGCATTAAATCTTCGGCAGAATTTGGAATTTGATCTTCCCACTTGTTTCTAATGCTTTGCTTTTTAATACAGCTGGGGAAAGGGGTCAGTTCTGCCTACCGAGCAAGTCAGGACATGGTTAAACTGTAACTGAGTTTAGCAACCGTTATTAAATAAAGAAAAGGTCTTGTTTTTTTCCCCTCTGAGAGACTGCCTCAAGGGCTTTAACTGGAACATACAGGTTCTCAGTCAGGCATTGCTTAAGAAAATATGAATTTCTTAATTAAAACCTTGCCAAAACCTTCTCTGTTGCTTAGCAAAGTTTAAAACAAGGTGCATGAAGGGAAATTAAGTTACCTTAAAATAAGTCTTCCCCAGCCGGGCTCTTTCCCAGCAAGCCCTGCAGAAGAGCAGTACACGGACATATCACAATAACCAATCCTACTCTGACCTACTGAAAGACTGGAATTGCTGCCAAAACCGGTGGTTGATCCCACCCAACAACATATTTCTGTCCTCTTGCTAAAAACCAACAATGTGCTGATAGCATCTATGCCAACCAGGCTCAGATTGCAAACACTTTTGCACAAATGAACCTAGTATGTCTTATGCAACAGGCGTCTGCCTGGGAAAAAAAATCTGTGAAAAAAAAACTTGGCCTGTTTCATCTGGAAAACGAGTTACAAGAACTAACTAGTTAATCCTCACATTACCCACAAGATGATAATGCTGCGGAGATGTACCCATCTGCATTTTATAGATGGGGAAGTAGACACCAGAAATATTAAGTGAAATTCTCACGGCAACGTTAAAAAAATCAATTTCCGAGATGAAACAAAATCAGAACCCAGCTGTTCTTTAGCTTCCAGTCCTATGGCCAGGGAACAGCTCAAACTGGAAAGCTAGATATGTGCTGTAAAGAGGACAAATAAAGGAAGCAGCATTTTTAGCACGGATTTATTTTTTGAAGTCACTGAAAATGGCACACATTTAGCTCTCAGGCTTGCAGTGGCGTTAGGCATTTAATCTGCTCCCCCAGAAATGCAACTCTTTCCATATAATAGGCCCAGAAAGGCCACTCTCACCTCCTGGATGTATAGCCTTAAAAAATAAGCTAGAATTTTAGCCATGAGAAAGGTTAACTTGTGATCCTGTGCACAACTGGAAGAGAGGCTGAATCAGTAGATACAACACATGCAGGAACCCCCCCTCAACAAACTCTGATACCTGTACTTTGAGGCCAGCGCAGTTCTTTCTTCAACAATTATGCCATAATAATTATCAAAGGACATTACTTAGACACAGGTGCTCGTCGTTGCTGAGGAGAGGATGCAAGTTCCTGGATTTCTGCTAAATGAGACAGAGAAGGAGTTCATCAGCATGTAAGGACCACCAGGCACCGAAATACCAGCGGTAGCAAACCCCAGGCAGCGTGGTTCCAGCCAAGCAATCGGTTGCCTTTCCTGGTGGAAGCAGCAAGCATTACTCATCATTTTCCCAACAGCTGGTGCTGCATCATCCCCCCCACCCCCTGCTTCACAGGCTGAGCTTTCAAGCTCGCTGCTTCTGTGTTTTTGTTTCCCACTTACTGATCAGCAATATTTAATGAATGTGGTTCTTAATATACCTTTTAAGATAAAAGCCTATTATCTTGCCAAGGGACTCAGCTCAGAGCAAAGATCACAGTGCTAAGCACCAAGATCGGAAAGATCAACAACACAATTAACTGCTGGAGGCACCAGGGTTTTGGGGGGGAATCCTACATGTGCTGGAAACGCTCAGGTCCCAGGGCTTTCTTCTGGCAGCTCTGGAATCTCAAGAATTGAGGAAACCGGGGCTGCATCATACCTGTAACAAGGTAGCGACCGCGCAGGGCTCCCAGGCTGGCTTTCAGAGTGGGGGTAACTGCTTTGTCACCCCAAGACCCTTCCCACCCGATGACACGGACACACCCTCCCCACGGGACGGTGGAGCATGGAAAAGCAACCCCTTGTTGTCATCAAATTCCCCCGATCTGCACCTCCAGTGGAGACGACATCCTGACCCCTCCCTTGTGCCTCATCCCCAAGTAGCAGCGAGCCCCCAAACCTCTGCATCCCTGCCGCGATGCCTCTCCTGCCTCCCCTCTTCAGGGAACGCGGCGCCGTCACACAGGGGGCCCCGTGGGCTGCACACCCTGGAGACCCTACCCCCTGCAGCATGCGGACCCCCCCCAAACAACCAGAGCAAGCCTCTGGGCCCCCTACCCCAGCGAGGTCAGTCCTGTCTGGAGTCACGCAGCCGCTCCAGAGACCCTGGCCTCCCCATCCCGGGCAGGGGGCGTCTCCCCACCGCCTCTCCCCCTGCACCAGGCAGGGACGTGGCTTTGACAAGTCACCGACACCCTGTGCTTAATTGCGGGGTGCCTGGAGCAGCTCCCTCCCCAGCCCCTCTGAAGCCGACCCCCAGGCTTGGCTGCCTGGCCCCTCCCTGGAGCCACGGGGAGGCTGGCCCTGGAAGGAGGGATGCCCCCCACCAGCTCCCTGGGTGGCCGGCTACGAAAGGCCGGGGCTTCGGTCCCTTGGCTAGGCCCCAGCGTGCCTGCTCCGCCTGGGGAAGGGGATGGGGAGGCCAGCACCGCGGCCGGGGAAGGGGCTCAGCCCCAGAAGCAGCATGGAGGGGCAGGGAGGGAGGCCAGTTACCTGCTGCCGGAGGGAGGAGGGAAGCCAGCGCCTAGGAGCTGCAGCTTGGCGGCATGGGAGGAGCCAGGGGCTGGGCCAGGGAGGGGAGAGAGGGACGAGCCAGGCCTGGAGGGGGAAGGAGGTTTGGGCACGCAGAGGCAAAGGATGGGGGCCCTCCACGCCCCTGGCAGCCAGCTGCGCAGGTGCTCCCCTGGGGCAGCTCCCATGGTGGATGCTGGGCTGAAGGGAGCTGGCCAGCTCCCTGGCCACGAGGTTCCCATACCCCTGTGTGGACTGCCAGGAGACATGGAAAGGCGCAGCAGAGCAGCCCAGGCTGGGTGGGGCGGTCCAGACAGGAGCCCCAGACCAGTGCTGGCTGCAGAGAGGATGGTCACCGCACGCATCAGAGCTGGACCCCACATGGGGCATTCACACCTTGGTCCCCACCGCTCAGATGTCCCCCCCAAATGGAGCCCAGGAGTAGGCTGGGTAGGACAAGGCAAGGCTACGCGCAGGGCAGCACTGCACACAGCAAAGAGCTGGGCGCAGAGCGCTGCAGAGCCTGCTGGCATTGACCCGACAGCGGAGAGCGTTGGCAAGGCAAGCACCTGACATACTGGCTCTGGGCTGATTAAGAAAGGATGGGAACGGACCGTGAAGGGAGGTTAACACGGCTGTAGTAAGTCACGGGGAACACTACAGATGGAGTTGACAGCATATTGTTTTACCAGAAGAAGCGATCATCAAACTAGCTAACTCCAGCCTAGGGGATGAGGCGCAGACCACGCAGGAACCAAGGGCACGTTCAGCACCCACGTGACAGCTCAAAGTCTAGTTACTTGTTTACTGCAAAGCAAAGATGCTCAGGCCGTCCTGTACGCCTGTGGTCTAGAGCTAGCACAGCGCATCCCAACTTCCTGACTGGTGCCTCCAGCTACCACTGTAATGCAAATAATAACAGGAGGAGAAATATAGCTCCTTGCTTCTTCCAAAGGCTGGAGAATATATGCCGCATACTAGTGCCCGGGTACAGAATGCGAGTGCAGCAGTTCTGCAGCCTGGCTCCAGCCTTTGTCAGGGCTGCAGAGATTTCCACGGCTTGGCAGCCCTTTTAGCAACTATTCTTTGTCCTTGCACAGACCTCAGCTTTACTCTTCCTCCCTCTGGGCTGTTGTCGCTGTTCTGTGCTAAAAGCTGTGCTCTCTCCAAGGTGTAAAAGGGCAGGCACAGGAGGAAAGCTATTGATCTTTGTTATGCACTAGACCATCCCAAAAAACGCCAACCCAAATCTGTTTCCCAAGCTCTTGGTTGATGGTTGCTTAAAATGTTGATAATATAATAATTAATCATACCTAGTATTTCTCATCCGCAGAGCGAACCATAAAGGCCCGTGGGCACCCATCTGGAGACATCTCATGTTGCAATGTCATTGCACAGGCCCGGATCCTTCACGTGTTTTCAAGAATCTACTTACACGTATCTCTGCTTATACGAACCAGGGCATAACAGCACCCATGCACCAAAGCTGTACTGGGGGAGTTTCTATACATCTATATTGGGATCTCAGCCAATTGGTAGCCAAGATGACTAATTAGCAAAGTCCCCCATCCAGTGGCTAAATCTGCATCCTGCAACATTTACTGGCCCTGCAAAGTCACATCTGATGCCAGGAGGTTGTTATACAAGCCGGAAGGGAGAAGAATCTGTCCAGCAATGCAAGCCACTCGTCCTTTGCAGATTATACAGGAAGTTCTCAGTGAGGAATATTTGTAAACACCTGCTCCTTGCTTCTTGTTGAAGTGCTCATAAGAAGCCAGCAGCATAATGTACACTTTTCCCCCCATTAGCTGTAATTCAAGATTGCCGACACAAAGAACTTGTGATGTACAAATAAACACCACCAACTTCACAGCCTCAGAGCACTTGGGACAAATGTGGGTTTCATCAGAGTCAACAGCAGAGCTCTTTTTGGCCTCATTCAGGTCAGAATTTGCCCCTTATTGAATATAGGACATTTGGGCTGAGAAAATAAAATCTTGAAAACAATGGGGTGATTTGGTAACAACCTAATGCTCTGTGCTGCAGCATCCTGCCCATAAGGCTCTCAATTTTTTTTTTTTTTTTTACTGACAGTAACTCCTGCGTGCGATAGGGATTATCCCTGATCTACAGATGCCGAAACCGAGTCATAGAGGGGCTAACAGACACAGCATAATTGCTACGCCACATCCCTTGGAAAATATTCTTCCACCCGGCAAACAACCCAGGGTGTTGCACACAAACACACCAAACACGGCAGCAGCTTCTCTGCAGGGCATCCACGGTGGGTTTGAAGTCGCGCGATAAATGGGGGTGCAGAATTTGGTTTGTCGGCATTAACAAAATGCGATTTGGAAACGCTTATTCATTTAAGAGATGAATTTGGTTTGTCGGCATTAAAATGCAATTTGGAAACGCTTGTTAAGAGAATCCGCGAGTAATTTTAAAAGAAAAGCCGACTCGCAGAATCACGCGAGCAAACAAAAGAAAAGATCCGCGCTCGCGGGTGCTGGATTGCTCCCTGCAGCACGCTTGCTATTGGGTCCAATCCAGTTTTAAACGCCTGGAGCAATGGGGCTCCTAGGGCAAGGCAGCAGGTCCCCGAGCCTCTGCTTCAACTCTTTTAAATCCTTTCACTTTTTCGGACAATTGTACCGTTATGGTTTTTTTATTACGTTTCATAAAGGGTAACTGATGTAGCATTTCATTGCAGGCCGTCCTCGACTTAAGATGTGGCGAGCTCCAACGACCGGGCGGCACCTACGAGGTTTATAAATTGACGCCCTGTTTCGACTTCCTGACCTGTTTCGACTCGATCCGACGCCACGCCACGAACACGGTCGCTGCGTCGCCCGTCTCCCCGGACAACACCTACCCCAACCGCCTCGGACGCTTTCTTTAAGAAAGCGGCCGAGACTCCAGCGGACAACAAGCCCACCCAAGAGCCCTTTGCAACCTCCGAAGTCACCTCAAAGAAGTCCTTCCCAATCAATACGATTGCTATTTACAATATAAGTGCGCAAATGCCGCGTGCGCCGGAGGCTGGGGGGCACGACGGCCACATGCAGGGATGCACTGCCACACTCAGGGGGGGCACGTGCCCCCCCCCGCCACGTCACCAATGAATGCAGCTGCATTACTCATCTAGCACCAATGCGGGGTGACTTGTGGCTACCTTTGGGAACCAGCCCCCCACAGACAGCATCGCTTCCTATGGGACAATCGGTTGCGAGGGACGACGCGTGGACCCCCAGCAATGGGGCAGCGTCCACACGGACCCGGGCCGGGGGGAGACGCTGCCGGCGCAGACCGCGCAGGCCCTTGCAGACGCGCCAGGCAGGAGCCGAGAAACAGCGAGTCAGACCCAGGCGGAGGAGCGCACCGCGCCGGCGCCGGCACCAGCTGCCCGCTGCCCGCCCGCGGTAAGGGCACACCCGCGGCTTCGGCACGCGCCGTGTCGTCATCGCGCCCGTACGTCACCGCGGCGCGCCGGAAGCGCAGGGCGGCCGGGGCAGCGAGCCGCGGGTGCGGGGCGAGAGGAGGAGGGTGTGTGGGGGGGCCGTGTCAGCGGACTGTGGCACTGTCTTTGCGGGGGCGGGGGCGCCAGACCCGCGTTCAGCTGAGCTGGGGGTTTGCCGCCAGCGCCGGCCTAGAGCTGCTTGCCTCCGCGTCGGCCTCGCTCGCTGGGACTCGCAGTGACCCGGATAAGTGAACAGGACGATTGACTCGCATGCTTTCCCGGCGTGCGCTCCCAATGTGATCGTTTCAGATTTGGCAACGCTGGAGCCGCCCGTGTACGCGCTGGCGCACGCGCAGAGCCTCCCTGTGCGCGCGCCACGGCACAGGCAGCCTTGGGGGGGGGGGGGGGGCACGGCCCCCCCACAGCGACTAGTTAGTGACTGGGGTCCCCCCCCTGCGGCCATTCCTCTTGTCTGATCTCGCTGACCAAGGGTAGGGGTCCTCTGCAGCCAATCTCGCTGATTGCACCGACCGGGAGGTGGCCGCGGCACTTCATCCGGCGCTCCCGCTGCCCACCCGGCGCTCGCACCTGCCTCCCCGCCTGTCACCGAAGCGGGGAGCGCGGCCTGTCGGGTGCACGTGCACCTCTGTGCACCCACTGTGCCACGGGCTGTGCTGTATCACAACAGCGCGAGCTATTTTCCATTTTTCCTGTGGAAAAGAGTCAATGGTGCACAGTTGCAATCGTTTTACAGAGAAAAAGCTGAGGGTAGAAGTGATAAGGGGCCGCGCGGGGGATCAGGGAGAGTTCCGTGCAGTTACAGGAAATGATGTTTCTCCAAAAGGAACAAGGACTTTCAGTCTGTCCCTCCCTCCCGTATCCTGTAAAGCCCCCATCACAATCCTAGAAACTTTAGTATCAAAATAAATACAACTTGTAGTATGCCACATGACAGAGGAGTGTGAGGGCTACACAGGGCAATAACCCCCCCCTTTTCCAACGCTTGATGTGGGAGCGGTCTGTGCGCTGGGGAGCAGGCGCAGAGGAGCCCCAACCAGCTCACAAAGGGAACGTTTTTCCTTCAGGCTGAAGCTCGAGGAAGCGAAGGAAGTGCAGAGCCTGAGGCGGCGGCCGAATGGGGTGAGGTGAGTGTCTCAGCGAACACACGCCAGCTCACGTTGGGTTAGAGACTTCCTCGGGGCTGTGACTTAGTTGCGGGGGGGTTGCCACCCTGTCGTCTGTACTCCCCGGCGCTGAAGGACGTCGCTGTGGCCCCAATAACTGGGCCTGGGAGAGGAGAAGGCCTCTTGACGGTCCAAAGACCTGTAGAAGTTGGTACTGGGCACAGCTGCAGTCGTATGTAATATGAATACTGGTGAATACTGGTTCCCTGTAGAGCTGCAGCCCAAAACCATGAAGAGTTTGGGCCTACTTTAAAACTGAAAGACCTTAAAGTTAGTTAACGATGGGTGCATCTACTTGAGATGCTTAATGCGCATTGGACTAATTTTACTGCGCATTATCGCATCATGGAAAAAGTGTGCTAATGCAGAGTAGATTTAGTTTAATGCACGTTAACATCACAAAAAACGTTCATCTGGGCTAATGCGCAGTAGAGCTGATAATGGTGCATTAAGTTAGTACCTGTCATTAGAGGTACTAAACTTAATGCACCGTAATTATGGTGCGTTAATGAATGTGTGGATTTGCCCTCCCCCATGATTCTTCTGGTCAGATTTCCCTCTGAGTTGTGTCATATCACCATATGTTATGATGTGTGGATCAGTTTCTCGTGTCTTAAACATCACTTTGTAACACGTGTAATAGATTATAAACAGGGAATTGGAAAACTAGTCTTTAAAATGAGTCTCACTTGCTATCCTCCATGTAATCTAAGGAAGGAGGCTTGTTAGGTTATGCCAGGGTACTGAGAATCAAGGTTTGCTCTGTGTTGAATTCTGTTCCTCACACTGACTCGCTTTGTGACCTTTTATGTCAGTTAATCCTGCTTTGCCTCAGTTTTTCTGTGTGGAAAATGGGGCTAAGAGCTCCCTAAATTGGATGGATGATATACGTTTTAAATATTGAATATCAGCAAAACAGTTTGAGACCTTCAAGTAGATGTTGGAAAATACTAAAAAAAATTCATGTGGTATTTATAATGAATTATAATGCAAGAGCAGGGTTTTTTCACTCCATGAATCTTAGTTTTCTTTTTTGTGTGCTTTGCTAGTGCTGTGGCCTTGCTTGTAGGGGAGAAAATGCAAGAAGAGACAACATTGGTGGTAAGTTGTGAATACTTCTATTACCTTACTGGTGATAAATACCTGTGGGAAGGCATCTACTTTGTACAATAGATCATTTGGAAAACTTAGTTTTGGGTAGCAGTTGGCCATCATAAAAGGCTAGTAGGATATAGCAGCCTAACGGAGGGAATTTTAGGCATTTTTACCAGATGCTCAGAGAAGAGGGTTTTCCAGAAAGTAACTTTGAGGCTGGTATAGATTAAAGGACAAATTTCATGCCTTTGAATTGTTTCTGCTTTTTGTAGGATGACCCTTTTAAGATAAAGACAGGTGGGATGGTGGACATGAAAAAGCTGAAAGAACGAGGGAAAGACAGGTGAGTGTCTGAGAGGTCTGAAATGACTCTTCATTTAATGCTAGAGAGTTGGCAGCACGCAGGACTCTTTCAGTATTGAAGAAGGAAGGTGAAGTGCTTCAAGCATTGTGCTTTGAAGAATTTAAATGAAGTCGTTTGTCGGGTTGCTTATAGTCAGTGAATTATTTAGTAACATAATATTCTTGTTAACATTTAGGATTAATGAAGAGGAAGATCTCAACCTGGGAACCTCTTTCTCGGCAGAAACCAACAGGAGGGACGAAGATGCTGACATGTAGGCATTTGCTGTGTTTATATGTAGTGATTCACCATGAGGAATGAGGTGCCTTAAGGCTATTTTTTTCCCGGGAACTAAGTGTTTGTAGAATATTTTCCCGATTTACTGTGAAGTTTCTTCTTGGGTTTTTTCCCCACCCTGGGGAAACCAGCCTGAGGAGGAATGAACTTGTAATTAAAGTCAACACTTGCTGGCCAACCATGTGGTCCACTGGCATTGTGTACATTATGTACTAGGAGAAACCATCCCTATCAATTGGGGGGAAAAAACCTTGACATTGTAGGAAGAAACTGATTATCTTTTGAACAAAGTAACTGTTCTGATTACCAGTACCTCCTTCTGGCTGAGGAGGGTTTATCTGCATCTTCTTCCCAGCCAGTGACACAGCTGTGGCCAGAGGTAATGGACAGGAGCATGAGAAATAAATGTAAGTTGCAGCTGTCTCTCTGCTTGCTGTGGCACAGGATGAAGTACATTGAGACTGAGCTGAAGAAGCGGAAGGGAATTGTGGAAAGCGAGGAGCAGAAAGTGAAGCTGAAGAATGCCGA